TTTGGTGTATCATTAGCAGGTGGATGACTGTACATATATCAACCTATGGTTGCATCAGACCAGTCTTCACATCTTATGTCTACCAGCAATGAAACTCTCAATACTCCTATTCCTTCCAATCCTACTACTCAGTCAACTCTTGGGAATGAACAAGATCCTGATCAAGGTCAAGGAGGTCAAGAACTACGTCAAGAAGGGCAACATCCTACTCAAAACCCAAATCCTGAACAGGATAACGACAAACAAGACGATCCAAGCTTGCCTGGGAATTTCCCGGCTGCGAACACCATTCTTGCTTTGTGCAATTCCGTTCTCGAGGATTTTAGATCATCACGGATCCCTAAAGTGGCTGTGTTATCCAGAATCTACATGCACTTACTTCATGGCATTCCAGATAATGATGTTTCCTTTGCTTCAACCATTGAAGAGGCCTTCGCTTGATATCTCACTATCATTGAGAATCATCAACATCACCTCAAAGAAGCTCAGCATCGCGGCACTCGTCGACAACGATCCAAAACTCCACCAGAGAGTCGTGCTGAAAGAGGAAACCCTGACAAAGATCAAACACCCAACAAGCATTCAAAACCAGACGAATTTCAATATCCTTGGATTATATCCGACTTCATTCATCGTGTCACTCTATCACCGTCACTTGTGAGCACACTTGAACTTCTTAAGCTCTATGCAATTGATCCAAAAGGGACTAAACACTCTCTTGTCAATTCTCCAACATGCCCTGAATTCCCAGACTCAGAGTGGACTAACATTCTCGCCAGGAGAGCTGTCAACCTTGATGCTGTCCTCAGCGGTTATTACTCAATGTCCAACAACGATGAGCAAGTGGAGGAGATTGGAGATCTTGAAATACACTTTGGAACAGTCAACCCAACAAAGACAGTTTCAACAGCTTGGGAATGGAGCATCACATGAAACAGGGCTTCACGAGCGACATCAACTGCTTTCCCACACAGAGCTGGAGAGCTGGCTGAATATGCTGAGTATATCGTTGGACTCTTCGCTGCCACTGATGCCCACTTCCATGATTGTGTTATCCTTTTCGACAAAGCTGTACGGCGTTGCATTGGTGCTTGTCAGGACTTGGAGCTCACAGATCTCAACAAATTCTCAGACCTCAGATCAACTCACATGGACTCAATTGGTGCTGCTGTCGTTCAACGGGCATCTCTCGCCACCAATATCAAACCCAATTCAACCTCTCAGAAGAAGATA